AGAATACCAGAAAGATGTTTACCTGTGTTTTATTGACTATGCGAAGGCATTCGATTGTGTGGATCATAACAAATTATGGATAACATTGTGAAGAATGAGAATTCCAGAACACTTAATTGCACTCATGAGAAACCTGTACACAGATCAAGAGGCAGTTGTTCGCACAGAACAAGGGGATACTGCGTGGTTTAAAGTCAGGAAAGGTGTGCGTCAGGGTTGCATCCTTTCACCATACCTATTCAATCTGTATGCTGAGCAGATAATCTGAGAAGCTGGACTATATGAAGAAGAAAGGGACATTAGGATTGGAGGAAGACTCGTTAACAACCTGAGATATCCAGATGATACAACCTTGCTTGCTGAAAGTGAAGAGGACTTGAAGCACTTACTGGTGAAGATCAAAGACCACAGCCTTCAGAATGGATTACACCTCAACATAAAGAAAACAAAAATCCTCACAACTGGACCAATAAGTAACATCATGATAAAAGGAGAAAAATTGAAGTTGTCAAGAATTTCATTTTACTTGGATCCACAATCACCCATGGAAGCAGCACTCAGGAAATCAAAAGACACATTGCATTGGGCAAATCAGCTGCAAAAGACCTTTTTAAAGTGTAGAAGAGCAAAGATGTCACCTTGAAGACTCAGGTGTGCCTGACCCAAGCCATGGTATTTTCAATCACATCATATGCATAGGAAAGCTGGACAATGAATAAGGAAGACCAAAGAATTGACACCTTTGAATTGTGGTGTTGGCAAAGAATATTAAATTACCATGGATTGCCAAAAGAACCAACAAATCTGTCTTGGAAGAAGTACAACCAGTATGCTCCTTAGAAGGAGGGATGGCGAGACTACGTCTTAACATACTTTGGACATGTTGTCAGGAGGGATCAATCCCTGGAGAAGGACATCATGCTTGGTAAAGTACAGGGTCAGCGAAAAAGAGGAAGACCCTCAATGAGATGGATTGACACAGTAGCTGGAACAATGGGCTCAAGCATAACAACGATTGTGAACATGGCGCAGGACCGGGCAGTGTTTTCGTTCTGTGGTCCATAGGGTCAGTATGAGTTGGAACTGACTTGGCACCTAACAACAACAGCAACAGTGTTCAGAGGTGAAGAGCCCTGCCCAAGGTTACCTGACCAATAGGTGGCAGAACCTAGACTCCAAATCCTGTGCTCTTTCTATTGCAGTATAGCTTTTTCTTAAAATTGCAAACTTAACCTTTATAGAGGGATACTTTAATGAGCTGATCAGCACTAACATTTTGTCAGTTGGTTTGTGGTTATCCAAAATTTTCTATGTTAGGATTTAGCAATCTACATAGTTGACCTCAGGGACTTCAGTTGTCACTTGTTCAGTATGTACAAACCAGTGGTTCTCAACCAGAGGTGATTTTCCCTACCCAGGCAACATTTGGCAAAACAAACATTTTTGGTTATCACAGCAGGGAGGGCGGGGATGTGCTGCTGACATCTATTAGGTAGAAGCCTGGGATGCTGAAAAAAAATCTCACAATGTACAACAAAGGATTATTTAGCCCAAAATGTCAATAGAGCCAAGATTGGGAAATCTTATTTTAGTTTTAGATTAATAAAATTTTTAGTCTTACCACTGCTTAGAACATCTATCAAGTTAGACAGTCTTTTGAAAAGACATGGTGGTTTGATTTAGACAGCAAATTACCATTATGCAGTGATAAAGCAAACAAAATGTTACTAAAACCTTTACTGAGGCATCTAAAATAGATACTGAAGATCATAAACAAGATAACTAAGGTATCTTTGAGCCTTATGAAAATAGAAACCTTTGATGTTCTCTTTAAATACTATTTGGACCAAGCAGAATCCTGACATTGTGCTGAACAGGCCCAAAATAAAGCTGATTGAGTTGATTATTTGTAAACTCAAATATGCCAGGACTTAGGATTGTTCCACTGTCAGCAAGAGGTAATATGATCTCTATTATCATTTTGGAAGCAAAAATGTCAAAGGAGTAGGCACCTTTGAATGTGAAAGATGAAATATGTGCATTCATAGGCAGGATGCCCCATGTCACTTCTCTGTAGGAGGGAATGAAAGAGAGCTACCACAGATCCACCATTCTACCTCGGTATGCAGGTTTCTAGTTTTCCCAGAAATATAGTTAAAAGAGATCCAAGAGCTTTGCTCAGGCTTTCTTAATAGTTAATTATAAAATGTCATGAAACCTTTCAGAGTACAGTTTTAAACTATAGGACAAAAAAAGAGAAGTAAAAAGTGACTAGTCTAAGACAGAGAAAACCAAAAATCCCGTTGGCTGACGAGTCGAATCCAAGTCTGAACACTCTTCATCCTGTAGCTCTTGCTGCCCCTTTTCAGGAAGAGCCAATAATATGGCAGGTGTCCGAGCTCTGCTCTAGAAAAGCTGAGCAGGGAATTCTTTTCCTCCACGCTAGTACATTTGATTAAATTGAATGGAGGCTTATTGTGTGATTTTTGTTAATGGATTAGTCCAGGTGTTCCATTGAACACTGCTGCAGAACTACCTAGAGTGGATTTCCTTTATGTAATAGATTGCAGTCTACTTGTTCATGGTCTGGTCATTCATTTACATATGGCTGGGTCTGATTCTTTATGGGAACTAATGTGCCTCTCTCTCTCCTCTCTATTTAAATAGCTGTAAATACCTTGACTGAATCAACTTTGAAGAATGTCCCTCAAGTGGTAAATGTGCAGGAATTGAAGAATAATCCTACAGCCTCCTCTGCAGCAATGGGGTATGTTACTAGTTTTCAATTCTTTTTTTTTTTTTTTAAACCAGTAAATTACTCTGTAGTAGGGATGAGCTGCCTGTAGGGTGCAGCATTGCTGCTGCCACAGTGTAAAATTTTTTCTGCAGAAGCCTTAGGCTATAAGGGGGATGTACAGCCAATCCTGTGTATACAGTTGGGTTTTCTGGGGATTTGGCTCTTCAGCTTGCCGATCACAGTTGCTGCATAAACCTTTAAAGTCTATCTTAGTGATGTGTACTCAGTTTACTCTTTGCCATGTGTAAATCTACTTGGGTACATATTATAGTTAAGTCTGGGTATATAGTTTTTTTTTTTTTTTTTTTTTAAATGCTCTTGGTGTTCTGGAGTGGACACTTTGGGACTAACGCAGACTATTGATTCAGATAACTCAGTGATGATCTTGACGTTGACTATCTTCTCCCTCACTTCTTCTCTCTAGGTATTTCTCATCTGGCAAGTTGCATTTGCTTTTTGTATGAAAAAATAATCTTATAAAGGAAAGGAGCTCTGCTCTGTGTAGAGACCCTCAGCTTCTCTTCCATGCCATGTTTGATACAGGGCCATATTCGTGTCTTATACAAATCTGTGTTCACAATTCAAGGTGCTGCCTCCTTCCCATGATGCTGTGCGGCAGCACAGCTCGCAGAATATGCCCATGCCCTATTTTGGTCTGACATTTTGTAGCCGTGATCCATTTGGTCCAGCCAGCCTCCTGTGGCATGGGGGAAAGTTGGGTGACATTCCCTCAGTTTGAATGTGGAGATTGTGAGAACCATTGTCATTCAGGGAGTTAGTGTATGCTGCCCATGATTAGTCCAGTGGCAAGAATAGCAGCCACAGACCTTGAGGGTTTTCCACAACATGCCAGCTCCCCACTGCCCTCAGAAGAGCAGTTCTGTTCATGGTTCCATTTTCGCTTTATCAAGTGGCCCTGTTTCACGAGTCCACTGGCGTTCTCTTTCCCACTTTGGTCCACTTATCAGTGTGGCTGTTCCAGGAATTTTTTAGTTATCTCAGGGCCATCCTGACAGTCAAAAAGCAAAACAAGCTTACCCACTTTCCTGTCTTGATAGTGACCTTGGAGCCTTGGTATGCTGTTTAGACCAAAATGGTATTTGTGGTCGTTGTGAACTTTTCAAGGGAAAGAACTATGCCTTAGAGAGTTTTGGAATCTTACCCAGATCCCTAGTGCAGGGAAGGCTAGGAAAAGCCACTGAAAAGCAGAATATTATAAGATGGGAAAATCCAGCTTATGGTGAAAGAAATATGGTCTGTTATTTCTGAGATATTTTAGCCATTAACTTATGTATGAGAAGCACCTTGGTCATTTCACTTTACCTTTTCTCAGGCTTTGTTTCTCTCAAATGGTTGATCTGAGCTGATCTTTGATAAGGGATTTGTTAGAGGAGTAATTCCATTAGTTGATGGCTTTTTTCCTTTTACTGATTTAAAGATGTTGACTCTACTTTAAAAATAATAGCTATAGTAATATCCATAGATGTTTAGAAAAAAAACTTTAATCCTTTCATTTTTCAAATTATTTTTATTGAAGATGTTCATTGTGTTGAAGATACTATGAAAAACACAGTTAAAAAGAAAAAAATTAAAATCACCTTTAATCCCACCACAAATGTGTAATCACTACATTTTTAAAAGTCTTTTTTCTGTGAAAATTTAGTTTTTAAAGTAAAATTTGAATCATGCTGCTTTGTAACTTCCTTTTTCAGCTTAATCATGAAACTTTATTGTTAAGAGTTTCTATGTCATTAAAAATTCTTATGGAATCCTACTTTCATGTTTAATATAAACCCGTTGCTGTCAAGTCAGTTTCTACTTATTCTTTTAAAAGATCTAATGCAGCTTCAGCTTTTATTTATTTGGCATCTAGACATTCATGCAGGAACTGCAGTTTGATTTGACAGACTTTTAAATGATGTTTTGGATATATGAGTTTTCAGAAACTTAAAATTTACCAATAGGGGACCACAGCTCAAAGTTCTGATCTCCACTGACAGAAGAAACTCCAAAAATGAACTGATGGCTTTTGTTTTCAATATCTTCTATTATTTTCTTCATTTTTTTTCTTTTAATTTCTGTTTCCTCAATTGCTCTTCTTCAATTGTCCTACCCGTTTGCCTAGCCTTTAAAATTTTTACCAAAAATTCACTGCTCATTAAGTAATAACTTTAGTAACTTTCACAATTTGTATCCACTATAACTATCATATATGAATTTATGTAAAGATGTGTCATAATGATTAGATTTATCAAAATAAAATGTAACCGGGTCCCTCTTTTTTAAAGCCCTTTAAAATGTTGAAGTAGGTGAAAGAACAAGTAATTGACCCCTTTGACAACAATAGGATGAATATTTACTTTGTTAAAGTTCATTAAGGATCACTGAGAAAGAGCCTGGGTGACATCTTAATGCTTCGTAATCTTAACAACTCAGTTTTGTAATTGCATTTAGAGTACACATCCCTGGCACAGGTGTGTGTTTATCTTCCTGTCTCAACACATAGTGCTGATAAAGTGTGGCAAAACAGAGAAAAACATGACCCTTCTGTTTTCAAGGCAATCTTTGAAATAAATTTGTTGTAGCATTTCACCATGTTTATCATATTTGATATTTTCATCTTTAATTGTTTATTATTTTTTTCCCAGGGTAGTTTGGGTGATGGAGAGTCAGAGGATTTAGAGTCTGTTGGAATTGTTTTTCTCCAAGAACTTAATTTTACTACCCTTACTGACCTTACTGTCTCCATTTCTCATTTCTAAAGCAGGAATCCTAGGTCAGCCAGTAATGGAAACGCCACCTGTAGATGCATGCAGTAGATATATGTCCCTTTGGTGCCTGTTACAGTTCTGTTTTCTGCTTTCACTGTCTAGTCATTTGATTTTTTTTTTTCCCCCAGTTGTAGAACAGTGTTTGGAGGTTAATTTCTGGCGATGTCTTACAGGTCCATATTGCTAGAAAGCAGATTAATCATCCAAAATATGGTAATTCTGAATTTGGCTTTTCCATCTTCTCTTGATGGCTGTTGATTTTCATTGCCCCTGTTCATGATTGTGCACAAAACTTTGAACATGTTCATTTGGTAGCATACTGTTCTTTTCTGTTGTCACTCTTGGATCATGGTGGAGAGTTCTGGATCAGATTAGATCAGTTGGTTTGTTGGCTGATTGCACTGAACAGCATTTCTCTGCAGGGTTGTCCTGTGACCCAGTGTGTTGGTACTGTGAATTCTAATCTTGTGTGTTTGGGGATTTAGAATACCCAAGAGGTATATAGCATTATCACAAGTAAATATAACAGTAATTATACTCCATCTAATTTATGCATGATTTAATTAACCATCAAGTCAGCTAAATTTTGGGTATAAAAAAGGTCTAAAAATTGGATAAATTACTTTTGTTTTCTTTCTTGTTTGTCTTTGAAAAAGGATAAACTATTTTCATTCCCTTGCGATTCTCATGAGTGCAAACCATTTCTCTAACCTAGTCTGCTGTGTCTTCCCAGAGATTCCTTGGGTTCCAGCAATTTTGTTCACACATTCCTTTTCTCTGTTGGAGATTCAGCTGAGGTGAGGTGGGAGTGCTATACCTGTGTACCTGCTTGGTAGAATATCTCAGGGGGACAGTGATGTGTTTTCCAGAGAGTTCCACATTTATAGCTCCTTCTGGCTTAAGTAGAAAAATAAAAGGGGTTTGTTTCATTAAAAATAAATGCATTTTTTTCTTCTCTCTCGACCTGATTAGGAAGATTCCTATGTTATTCCAGTAGAGAATTCTGACTTGCTTATAACGATTGTTAAATTGTTTGATAATTTTCTTCTACAAGTCATGGGCCTATCTTTGTGTTTCCTCTTCCAAGTTAACTTTCTGATGGAAAAATGTTTATCCTCTCTAAATCTGGAGAGAGTTCTGAAAACTAAGAGATCTGTTGGCTGCCATTATACATACCAGTCAAAGCAGCTTCTGTCTGAGGACTTTGAGCAGATAAATTGATTAAAGTAACTGCTCAGGAACCAAGAACAGAGCTTTTGTCTGTGATTGCATTAACAGGTGATTGATTAGTTTCTATTCCCATGCATTTGACTGATTAGGTTCTGTTCCCATGCATTTGATACTAAGTAATTATTGAAATGACAGTTCCCTGTATATGGTCTTCAGGCTTGCCTGTGTGGCATTTTGTGTTTTGTTTACAAGAGATGGTGAGAGCTCTTTCTGCAAATAGTGGGTGCACTTTTCATACTGTAGCAAAAGTGCAGGAAGAAAGCACAACAGTGGTACCTGGTGAGCTTGGGACTCTCTCCTGCCAGAGCTCTTGGGGGCAGTGGTGCATAGGGACTACTGTAAGAAGCTGAAATGTCTTCTTTGGGCAGCACCATACATGGCAGCAGATTGTATACATCCCATAATCCTGTTAACGTTTTCTCAGGTTTGGAAAAGAGCCCCACCTGGTTTAGAATTAGAGAGTAAAGAGTTTACTCTCCAGATAAGACAAGTATTTACTCCTAAATAATAATAATTTTTTTTTCCCACTTAGGATTGCAAGAGGAAAATAAGTCTTAAGGTTCACTGCTTTGACCTTTATGCTATAGCCCCAAATCAATTAAAGAATATGTTCTTCAGTCAGAAAAATATCAAATGAATTTGGTTGGGATCCAAGAATGTGTTCTTCAATCAGAAAAATGTCAAATGAGTTTGGTTGGGGTCCCAGATACCTGTTTTCTACCCAAAACAGAAAGTTGGCTCAAGGATGGATGTTGTTTTCTTCCAGTCATGCTTTTCTCTAAGTGTATGCCTTGTGTGTCCTTTAGTTCCTCAGTACCATACTCTACAGCCAAAGCGCCTCACCCAGTGTTGACCCCAGTGGCTTCTAACCAAGCCAAGCAGGTAACTTTTACTGATTTTTACTTTGTTAACAGCCATCCAGTGTCTGTCTTTGCAACTGAAGATAATATTGCTTTAAGTCCTGACTTTGTATAAATGAACTATAAGTCTAACAAAGACTTGTGATCCTTTCCCCATGATTTATGCTGACCTTGACATGGATGTTAACCATGGTAGGTCAGTTAGGACCTCATATTGTCTTCAGAGGCCATTTGACATTCTGCACCTAGTAATCTTGGGTCATAATTCTAACACCTTATATTTGTATGGGGTATTTTGGCTTATTGTATTCTTTCATTTACCTCAGTTGGTTCATACAACCACTATGTGCAGTAAACAGGAAAGGTGTTTAGATATGTTTCACTATTGAAGAAACCTAGGTTCAAGTGACTAATGCAAGCTCACATGATCAGTAAATGGTGGAACCAGAGCTGGAATCCAGGTCTTCCAACTTTTCCCTGTCCATTGCTTTTTTTTTGCTCCACCATACAGTATTGGTGTTTAGGAGATGGGTATCTTGTTTTTTCCTACAATCCCTGTTTTTCAGAGCTTGCACATTTTTTAGTGATGTTTGTTATGTCTAGCTTCAGGCTTTTGCCGATAAACATCGTCTCTTACAAAAATAGGTTATGTGGTAAACAGTTAAACAATCCAGAAGAAAATAACAGGAGATGACTGGAAGGTAGATCAAACTATACCTGCTACCTTTGAAACTTTTCCTAAGAAAATGTGGTTTCTGTGCTACTGTTATAGCTGTCTCTGAGATGAGTAACTTTAGATTGTTTGAGATCAAAGTTTGAGATTGAAAATCAGAACTTGCCTGTTGAGTTCTTACACGTGACTCTCTTTCTTAGTCTGCCATAACTTAAAATGGCATTTAAGCATTTAGTCATTCTTTTGGAGGTTTTCATGTTTGCTGCAGAGGACACATGATAAGGCATAAATCATAACACAAGAATGAAGGGACATTGAATGGATATGGGTAAGTGAAAGGTTTTGTTTTTTAACCTTATTATAAATTCACTGAGAGGCAGACTGTTTCATTCATGTACTTATTCATCCATTCGTCTGTCTACCAAATATTCAAGTGCCAAGCGCTGTGCGAAGCACTGGGAAAATAGCCATGAACTAGACAGGCATGATTCTGCCTTCTTGGAGCTTGCAGAATATCCATATTTTCATCTTCTAATACGAGCTTACATTTGGTAAGCATTTTAAAATGTTGACTTAAATTGGGTCTTTTTTTTGTTTTGGTAATTAAGTTAAATAAAAGTGTTTGTGCTTGCTTATGTTAAATTATGTTATCATTTCACATGTTCCTCTATTCCAGAGGTAATTAGTGGTTTAATATAAATATTTTTCTTATGTTCTGTTATAGGGTTCTCTAATAGATTCCTTAAAGCCATCTTCCCCCATACCAGCATCCAGTCCATTGTCATCTGGTGACAAAGCTTCAGGTCAGTTTGCATTTTTGTTTCAGTGAAAATAAAGCTGAAAGAAGAGCTCTGCAATAGAGTTTATTGTTCTAGATCAAAGAGGCAGTTGACATAGGAAATCAAGTAAAGAGATCATATTTGAAGGTCCTCAGTTGATTAAGAGTCTCCAGGAAATCAGTGAGCCCTTCAACAGCTATGTAGAACTTCAGTTTGAAAAACTTTACAGTGCTAGAAGAAAACCTTCCTTTAAATGCTTTTCCTAAAAAGGAGTAATAGTATTGTTTTCTCCTGGCTTGCTAGGTAATCAAGGTTTAGAATAGAATATGAATACTATATCAGAATGTTGCAGTCTTTCTTCTGCTAAAGGGAATCAAAAATCTGCTTGGTTTACAGTGACAATTTACAAGCCTGTAAAATACAGAAAACAGATCTGTTACAATCTAAGATCTCAGTAAATATAATATATCAATACTGTGGATTTTATAACTTCACATACTTCCCCCAACACTCACTCAAGCTTAATTATTCTTAGATAACTAATTTTTTTTTATAGTCACCATAGTTGTTTTGACCAGGAGTCCATATTGCCCAAGTCATCTTGAAGCAGAAGAATGCTTTTACTTATAACTTAATTTTGATGTGAAGTCTTCCTCAATATCTCCTTTTGTAGAATCCTTTTTTTAGCTCACCTTATTTGGCATATATTACCTTCTGCTTCACGGATCTTGTGTCACCTGCAATATTGCATTTTCACCACACTTTGGACTCTGGCTTTTATTTTAATTCATGCTCTCAAGTGGATCTTCAAGCAAATTCTGTTAGAGACCTTGAACTTCACACATTAACAGCCTTCTTTGCATAATCTCTACTCAGTAATACAATCATCCTAACTTCCTCTATAATTAAGAGCTTTCTGATTGGATATTAAGTTTATCTTCAGTAAATAGTCCTTGTACTCAGAAGAAAAGCATTCATTGTGTAAGCCAAAGTAGTAGTATTGTGGAATTGCCAGAGACTTTTGAATCATTTAGGGTTCAAATTAAGAAATTTACTTCCATTTCTGGCTCATATCTTAGAAAAAGGTTTTGAATGATCATATATACTAATTCTTTTTGAGAACTTTATTGGAGAACCTTTTGTCACTCTTGAAGTATTTAAGTAAATCAGGGAAATCCAAGGGACTTTGTTTCATGCGTGTCTTATGCAATTAGTATGACTTACAAATAAATTTCTGGGATTTATTACTCAGTGATGATCGAGAAATATTCTGTTTACTTCTGTTTTCAGTTGCTGGCTAATCAAGATTTAGAAAAGGACTTATTTTTGCTGGGAAAATTTCACTGAAAAATATTTCCCTGAAAAAATATAATTTGAAAGTTTGAAAAAGTTTCTTTAAAAAAGCATTTCAAAACCTGTAGAGAATAGTTCTCTTATTTCTTCATGATGGAAATACCTTCATTGTTTTTTTGATTATGAAACTATTACATGTCCACAAAAAATTTCTGTGGTATAGATACAATGTAGAAAGTGAAAGCTGCCCTATAAATTCCATAACCAGAAATAACAGTCCTTGACAGTTAGATGTATATCTCTTGAGGTTTCTTCATTGTTGTTTTTTTAAACAAAAATAAGCATATCCTGTATATACTGATTTGTAATTTTTCCTTCCCATCCCCCACTTAAAATAAGTATCTCGTTCACCTTTCCAGGTCTCATACAGTTCTGTCTCACTGGTTATAATGACTGCTTAGGGCTTCCATTGTAAAATTGCAGCCTGTTAAATTGTACCAGTAGTTTAGATTGTTTCTGATTTTCGAGATTATAAGCAATACTGCATTGAGTATCTTTGTACATGCCACATTGTATGTCAGTCGTTTAAAAAAATATTTTTACTAATATCTACCCATACTCATTTAAAGAGTAGGACTTTTTATTATTGTTTGGTTTGATTTGATTTGGGTTTTTTATGTAATTTTCCCACCTCCACCCCTCTTTTAAAGTAGACTAACAGGACAAATATTAAAGATTATACCCCAAACTATTAAAATGTAGTTGCATTGAAATTGATTATGGGGAAAATGATGGATTGTACTTTTAACTTTCTACACATTTCTATATTACAGCAATCGTGTTACTTCTGTAATTAAAAAGAAAACTATTATTTGTTAAGTATATAAAATCTACTATGGAAAATACAGAAATGCATATAGAGAAAGCATATAAAACCAAAAATGAAATCCCTTGCCGTTGAGTCGATTCCAACTCATAGCAACCCTACAGGACAGAGTAGAACTGCCCCATAGAGTTTCCAAGGAGCACCTGGTGGATTCGAACTGCTGACCTTTTGGTTAGCAGCTGTAGCACTTAACCACTACACCACCAGGGTTTCCTGAGAAAGCGTATAGTCAGCCATTAAGCTATTACTTGGAGATATTTAGCATATTAACCTATTACTCTTTGGATTTTTTTCCCTTCGGTATGTATTAATTTTCATTAATTATAGAACTATGTACAAGTTTATATTTATTTATTTATTTATTTATTTTTTTGCTTAGCCACACATTATAAGCATTTTCCCCATACTGTTAAAACCTAGAAGAATATACTTTTAAAGCTTTAAGCTGCACTAGGATTATTTTGATGTCTTTTGTGGAAAGGAGAGTTTGGCACGTCTTAGGTTGGAATTGACATTGACAGAGCCAAAGAGCAAGATCAGAGATCTTGAACACGAGTTAGGCAATACGCTCACTCCCTGTGACCCCCTGACTTATCGTGGAATGCACATGAGTTCTTCAAAAGTGAAGCTGCGCCTCTCAGCAGTACCACACAGGCTGTGCTGCAGGGAATCACTAACTGGAATGGTGTTTCTAACTGACTTTTTAAAATGTTTTTATTTGTTTCAATAATTTCAGGGCCAGGGACAGCCAAGATAGAAACAGCTGTGACGTCTACCCCATCTGCTGCTGGACAGTTCAGCAAGACCTTCTCATTTTCTTCATCAGGGTCAGTAATGAACTGAAGTTTTGTGGCAGATTACCAGCAACCTTATAGATAGTGTCCCCAGATCTTACGATCAGTAGGGGTTTTGTTGTTGTTTTGTTTTCCATTTAAACTGTGGAGTAAAACAGGTTCTTCACTGTTCACAGGGTTATTTCTGAGTTGCAAAAATTATCTACCTGTTCCCCAGTTTTTGGTAATTCCTGTATTCCCCCATTCAATCTTGGCTGTCACAATCAAACAGACAGAAAGTGGAAAGAGGAAACATTTTTCTTGCATGTGTAGTGGAAGCCTTACAAGCAGAGATTAACTGTTCCAGGTCTATCAAATAGATGCATAAGCAGTAGGTATATTTATGTGCTTATTAAATGTACATGCGCCCAGATTTCTTATTGTTGCAGTAGTACATCTGATGATAGTGACAGTATCTTAATGTCCTAATATAAATCTATTTTCCCTTTGAGATTCAAGTTTATTGCATATGTTACTACATATTTTGTTTATTTGTTTTTATTTTTTGGGGTAAGGTTCATTTTCTTTGGGTAACAGGTCTCTGTTTAATTCAATAGTTAGTCTAGTTTATCACAGTAAGATTTTCATTCTTAGGCTGTTTGGGAGCTCGATGTGACATTTAAATTGACTTTACTGCGTTGAGAGTTCAATATACTAAACTTAGAGGAGGTAATAAAAGATAGTAGCTATTTGAACATTTGGATTTTATATGGATGTTGGGAAATCTATTTCTGTTTCTCTGTAATGATGACTATATTTGTAAAATTCAAGGGTCATTTTTAAAAACAAAAGAATTTTCTAAACAACATTTCAAGTGAGCTTTCATTAACCTAGGCCTGAATATGCCTTTCCTTTGAAGGCCAGTTTCTCTGGATGCTAAAGCAGGCTCTTAGAAGCACTCATGTGGAAATCTGTGAAAGTTCCCAATGTGTTCCCTTCCCTGCAGTGATGGAGTTAGACTCCGTGTAGCTGAGAGTAAAACCTGTCAAAAGATTTTTTACCTTTAAAGGGTTGTGTGTTCAGTTCCCTTAGAAAAGCTTCATAAGCACTTTCAGTTTGTGCTTTTGTAATTGAAATCATATTAACCACAATCTTTTTTCCCTGATGTTAATGTTTCTTGAATGTCCTTCATCCTAACACATTGGAAGAAAAGAGAGTGTTAGAAAATACTTTAAGGGAGGAAATTGTGTGTTACATGTATTGTTTTTGTTATAAATCATGATGTTTTTTATACTTACCAAAGGTAGTTTGGAGCATATTTTTAAAGAGTTGGTCAATGCCAAGAAGTAATGCATCCTTTACAAATGCTAACATAATACCTCTGTGAAATCATACTCTTCATCCCTTAGTAAGCCAGTAAGCTGGGCAGATTTGGGCCATTGGGTCAATGGTTTATCTCTATTAAAAATTTCTTCATCTAGATTAAGGACTGCCGACAAAGAAGAGGATTTTTTTTAAATATGATAAAATGTTTAACACGTCTTCTAGATGGTCTTTGTCCATCTGAAGAAAGCAATGATGGGTAGAAAATCTAAATCCTTTCTTTACTTAACTGTGTTTGGCATGGTTGATCCCTCACGTTTAAATACTTTATTTCATTTTAAATTTACTGTCTGAGCTTTTATCACAGTGAATAGCTGTTCTGATTCACAGTTGTGCTGAATTTTCCTCTTTGGCTCTGGTGTCTTTACTCACAGTGTAAAGAAAATGGACAGAAGAAGAAAGGAGATGATGAAAGGAGTCAGAAATGTTTTTTAACCAAATTTTTCCAGCCTAGAACTGAGAGTTCTGTCAAAATGGCAGAGTCAGTGGCTTCTAATATTTCATGCTGTTCATCATCTCTCCTACTAGTGTAGGGCTCTTCTGACATGCTGTTCCATTGTGGGCTGGATTATAAGAGGCTCACCCTAATCCAGCCACTTCTTATGTTGCCAGCCTTTTCTTCCGCTGCTTCACTAGGCAGACCATCTGCTCTAGCCACCATTTCCAAGTGCACATTTCTACTGCATCTCTGTTCCTGTTCTTTGTCTCCTTTGCTTTACTTGGAATAGGTCTCCATCCAAACCTCTGGATGGCTGGACCTCTCCAAGGCATTCTCAACTGCTACCACCTTTTTACGTCATCCACAAGTTGCCTCTCTCTGTTTAGAGATCTTGGAGCATTTACCACTTCTGAGATATGTACTTTTACTCTGTTGTTTATCTTATAGATTGTAAATTCCTCGAGAGCAGATTGAATGCATTATAAAAGGGAGTATTAAAAGGGCAGTATTATGCCTTAGGTGTGTTCCTTTTTAACTTGTCTTCTTCCACTCCCTAGGAATGGCTTTAATTTTGGGATACTCGCATCAACACCAGCTTCTAATTTTACTGCTGCCCAAGGTACAGTCTCTGCATTGCATAGCTTTATTTTTGTGTTTTCCTGGAACAAGTGCAGGTTATTTTTGTAGAGATGTGTTGATATTTCACCTGCTGCTGAGTCTTGGTTAAAGTATCTGCAGTTAAGTTTGGTGTTAATATAGTACATTAGAATTATGTTCAATTTAGGAAACTTATGCAAAGGATTTCTGGCTATTTTTGTAATTAAGAACAAGGAAAGGATTTGCTTTTGGAAAATCAAGGCTATGCGTTAACATGTTACTGTTAACGAGTGAATTAAAATTTCTCCATCTTTTTCATCTGTACTTTTAAAATTTCATCAGTTTGTAGGGTGAGTCCATAGAGCAAGATAGACATAGTACTAAAGAAAAACCTAACTCATCTTTTTTCCTTGGTAACATTTCAGTAAACACACTGATCGCATGCGTGCTTTTACAAATCCATCAGCTAGCATGTTCTTAATGTTTTAAAGAATTTGAGATCTAAAAAGAAATCAAATGTATTTTTAAATGCCTCCCAGTTTTGCAGTTTAAGTAATTAAATTTATTTTTCTTCTGTTAAAGAAAGCTTTTATTGTAAAAGTAATGTGTCCTTATTGAAGAAAATATGGAGATACAAAAAAGCATAAAGGAATTAAAAATCACCTTATGCCCTCAGTGATAACTGATAATTCTGCCATATTTCCTTTTGGGATTTTTGTCTTCTGGTGTTTTTTCTTTTTTTCCATGTAACATAATCTCTTGAGAATTTTCTAATATAATTTAAAAAATCTTGTATAAATATCACTCTTTAATGGCTAAATAGTTTCTATCTTGTGGATATGCTGTAATTTATTTAACCATTCAGCTGTTGGACTTTTAGGTTATTTCAAGGTTTTCCCTATCATAAAACATAACGGCCATCTTTCATTTATTACTCAACAAGTATTTTTTAAGAGTGTTCTGTGTGCCAAGTCAAATGGTAGGAGTTTCTTAGTAAGTTACTTAAAGAGAAATTAGGGAGCTGAAAGCATAGCAGACTTTCTAAACCTGATTTGTGTGTGGTACTTAAAGCGTTGATGATTTTATTCCTTTCTCTTTAAAACATTCTTGAACTTGTTTTTTAACCTTTGCCCTCTTAGATGTGGCAGAATACCCTCACGGCCCACCTTCTCATCAGTCTCATTTTCTAGAGGAAAAACAACTCAGTGATATAAAAAGATTGAAGAAGAACCAAATAGCTGTCTAAAATCGTAAATGTAATAAAATACAATAGTAATTCTGTAAACATTGTAATTAAAACAAGAGCAATCCAAAACCATAAACTATTCAACTTAGCACCCCTGATGCAAAGAGGTCTTTCTGGAAATTGCACACAGGTAGTAGGAGCTTGGCAGTATCCCCAAGAAGTCAGACTTCCTAAAACAATATGGAGTTAGAAGCATCAATAAACACTTGCAATAAGCTAATTTTGGTCTATAAATATTAACTTTTAGTCACTCTTATTTATTGAGTACGTACTGTTTGACTAGGCATTGTCATGAGTGCTTTAACTGTATTTCATTTAATCTTTGTAACAACTAACTCTCTGAGGAGGGTGATCTTACTGTCTCTCTTTTCCAAATGGGGCAACAGGCCCAGAGAAGTCAACTAACTCTTCCAGTAAGTGGCAGAGCTCCTGGCTCTAGAGCCCATATTCTTGGCCGCTAGGCCGTATCTCCTTTATAAAATCACTTGCTTTGTAGAGCACTAGTAAGCAACCCTTAATTGTGTGTAAAAATGAATATCTGTGGATTGACACTTTATTTGCGCATAAAAAACAAAGGAAGAACTTCTGTTTTGGATCAATTTCTGGTCTATCAGGAGGTCCCTTGATAGACTGTAGAACTTTGCCGAGAATATTGTTGAGGAAGGCACACATAGTCAGAAGGATGTAAGAGAAAATGCCTTTTTATGTCTCTTTTGGGATAATATGTTATTTTCATGTATTCTAGGTATCTTGTATTTATTTGTTGTGATTTAATGATCATCAAAAGAATATTAGCTCCTTTTGGCCTCAGTAAGATGATTCAGACAGAGCCTAATATTCCTGTGGAGAAGCACTCATTGTATCCTCTCCAAAGAAAACTACTGTATTAGAACAAACTATCCCTGATTTTATCAAGGAGGATAGAAACTTTGGCCTAGAAATAGAGTCAGTGGAAATGTGATAGGACATACTTTGCTATATCTAACCCATTTCCTAATTTCTTTTTCTTGCTAGGGGCAACACCCCCCAATAAAGAGTCAAACCAGCTCGATGCATTCTCATTTGGTGGGGTAGGCAAACCTTTTTATGAGACCACTCCTGAAAGCACACCTCCTTCAGGAATCACATCATCATCAAACACCGCTGGAGCTGCTGTTGCTTCTTCAGGAGAGTTTGTTCCGTCTAACAGCAGACTTGTGGCACCTTCTGGAATTGCTCTTTCCACAGCCTCTAGCAAGCTAGAAACTCCTTCATCAAAGTTGGGAGAGCTTCTGTTCCCAAATTCTCTGGCTGGAGAGACTCTAGGAAGTTTTTCAGGACTGCGAGTTGGTCAAGCAGATGACTCTACAAAGTCAGCCAGTAAGGCTTCGTCCACAAGCCTAACTAGTGCACAGTCAACCAAGACTTCAACCGTATCTTCAGGGTTTAGTTTTACTGGCCCTCCAGTGCTAGGGAAGCACGTGGAGCCCCCTGTGACTTCCTCTCTGACCTCTACCACAGTAGCACCACCAGCAGCAGCCAGCACAAGCACCAGCAGTTCCTCAACTGGTGTTTTTGGCAGCCTGCCGCTCACCAGTGCAGGTTCCTCTGGGGTAATCAATTTTGGTGGGACTTCTCTAAGTGGTGGCAAGGCTAGTTTTTCATTTGGAAGCCAACAGACCAGTAGTGCAGTGACCACATCTGTCCCATCATCAGCTACAACTGCCACTGCCCTGCCTACATCATTCCCCACATTGTCACTTGGTAACCTCCTGAGTTCAGCGTCCACTACCACCCAGCCTGTGTCCTCTGGTAAAAACACAGAGGAAGTCACGTCATCAGCTCTGCCTGAGAAGCCAGGCAGCAGTGAGGTTGTAGCATCAACACCCTCACTTCTAGGGCAGCAACAGTCAGCCCAGCTTTCCCAGTCTCCTCTGCAAACTTCTGACTCTGTTAAAAAAGAGCCTGCTCTTGCCCAGCCCGCTACCAGCAACACCACCACTGCAGCATCTAGTACGAGTCTCGTAGCACCTTCTGCAGAGGCCACTCCAGCAGCCACCAGGGTCCCTGATGTTAAGACAGAGGCAGTTTCTTCAGCTTCCACGTTTTCAGTGCCCGGGCAGACTGCTGTCACAACAACTACAATCACAAGTGCAGTCCTTGTGGCTGCAGAAACATCAGGCACCCCCACAACCTCCAGCACTGTTTCCAGTATTGCTTCAAGCCCAGCTACAGAGACAGCAGTGTTTGGAACTGCCACTTCTGGCTCATCTGTCTTTACTCAGCCACCTGCTTCCAGTTCTAGCTCAGCTTTCAGCCAACTCACCAGTAACACAGCCACTGCCCCCTCCGCTACCCCCATGTTCGGGCAGGTGGCAGCCAGCACTGCACCAAGCCTGTTTGGGCAGCAGACAGGCAACATAGTGAGCACAGCAGCCTCCACACCACCAGTCAGCAGCTCAGGGTTTGGCAGTCCAGCTTTTGGCAACTCAGCAACGGGGGTCTTTGGACAAGCGACCTTTGGGCAAGCCCCTGCCTTTGGGCAGCCTACGAGCAGCCCCGCAAGCGGCTTCTCCTTCAGTCAGTCTGGGTTCAGTTCGGTCCCTGCTTTTGGTCAATCCATTTCCTCCACCCCCACATCTACCGGTGGGAATGTCTTTGGCCCCTCCTCAAGCACCAGTAGTTCTAGCTCCTTCTCATTTGGACAGTCTTCTGCCAACACAGGAGGAGGACTGTTTGGCCAAGGCAATCCTCCTGCTTTTGGTCAGAGCCCAGGCTTTGGGCAGGGAGGGTCTGTGTTTGGTAGTACTTCAGCCACCACCACAACAGCGTCATCCACTGGGTTTAACTTTTGTCAAGCTTCAGGTAAGAATTTATGGAAGATTTTTACTTTGTACCCTTCTGTGTTGTTTGAAACCTTTATGACAAATCTGTATTACTGTATAATGAAAAGAAAGGGAACTCAAAGAAAAAAGAATCTGTAAAATCAAGAAGGGACTTTGGAGCATTTGAAGTCTCATTTCTTCGGCCTAATTGGATGGATCTGCCACAGCTAACTGTAGATCTAGTTTTGTTTCTCAGCATGTTCTCCACTCAGTTAGCCACCACAGTGCCAATTTCATGGGGAAAAAAACAAGCATCTTTAGTTTAAGGTCATGGCAAGTAATTTAATGGCTCATAAATATGAAATTTTAAATTGGGAAAGAGCCTTAGAAGTCATTGTGTCCAAAACTGTCAAGCCTAGAGGTGACTGATCTAATGTTGTAGAGTGCTAATAGTGAAGCCAAAAGAATCCAGGTCTCGTCTTCTTAGCCCCCTGCCCTGCTATTATTTTATATTCCTCCAACACCATTTTGCTTGTTAGGAGAACAGATACTGACATTTGTAGAGTTGGGTTTTTTCCTATTTTTCAGTGTGATGATTTAAAAAAAAAAAAATTCTGAATTTTACTGTTTTTGAAAGTGAAACTTAGTCCTTCACTATTGAATGTCCAATTTTAGCAGCTGCTTTTACTTCTAAAAGTCTTCAGTAGACAAGGCAATGTAAAAATCTTTTCTTAGTTTTGCTTTCTGATGGTTATCTTATGAAAGGCAATTCTTCAGCAGTTAGGCTGTAGGGGACAAACAAGGATCAATGATTTCATGATGGGTAAGATTACACAGAGCTGCTAATTCATTCCTTCAGTGATAATTTCTTTGAAAATGGTTTATAATTCATTAGAAAGAAAATGTTTTCCTTCCTTCCGTTCAGCAAATGTTATTAACCTCCTGCTAAGTTCCAAGTGCTGTGTTCAGCTATGAGGACATGGTGGTAAAGACAGACACAGTTTTGAGATCCACCTGATACCCTGTGAAAAGGCCAGTCGACCCATTTGAATATTGTGAGATGTAATGACTTGGCCTAGAGAATGGGCAGAGAGAAGGCCTATGAGTTGTGAGTCTTAAAAGAGTAGGATATCTTGTAGTGTCTTTAGTGCATCCTCTATTCTGCAGTCAACACTTGAGAAACCCTCATGCACAGGCATTACCAAACTATTTCAACCATAAATCAGAACCCCTGAAGAAATCTTCATTCATTCAGTAACTGTGCAGAAAGGCACCTGAGCAGTCTGCTCCAACCCTGAGGAATTGAGACTTGCCCAAGCTCACCTACCTAGAGGAATGACAGAAATGGAATAAAACTCCTGCCTTCTGATTCCTCATCTAGGGCTCTTATTTTTATAGTAGATAGTTCTGCCTGATTTTCCCAGATCCTTTTCAGCCTACCACCTCAACCATATTATGCCACCTGGAAGAAAGATAGGCTACCCTGAAATATCTGGTATTTGAGATTCAGGGAATACCAGAGAGTAGAAATATTCATGGTATTACATCAGTCATTGGAAAGCATTCTTGGTGGCTTAAAGTGTGGGGAGAAGCTATACTCTGAAAATAGACCATCTTATTAGCTCCCACCCACTTGTGATCTGGTAGGAGAAAAGGATTCAGTCCTTAGAACTTTGGAATTTATACTGTTATATAATATTAGCAATAAAAAAGGTCTTTAAACTAGTTACTCAGAATTTTCTACATTTCCTGAATAAGGAAACAAATTTTATTTGTAAGTTCATTTATTGTGGGGTAGCTTAGCATACCTGAATGCCATTTAAAAAATTTAAAAAAAACATATCTTGGATGTTGTAAAAGACTCACCCAAACTGAACCTTTATTTCCTTTGTATTTTACAGGTTTTGGGTCTAGCAATACTGGTTCTGTGTTTGGACAGGCAGCCAGTACTGGTGGAACAGTCTTTGGCCAGGTAAATATATGTGTGTGTCTTCATCCATATCAACATGTACCAAACCCACCCACTTTTCTCCTATAAAATACAATCAGTTCATGTTGTATGTCTCATCCCAGCAAAGAGTCATTTGTAGTTCTTAAGCTCCACCCTCTTTAGCTCCCTCAGGGACACAGAAGTCTAAGCCTCTGATGTGAGAATCACTGGAATTTTGACCCTTTTGTGATAGTCCATTAGGAAAGCACTTTAAAAACACATTGCCTGATTTCCATCGATCTTCTGCCTGTTCTGTCAGGCACAGGTTGACAGGCTAAATCTTCCCCTTGGCCTTGTTTTTTGTTTTGTTTTTAAGGTCCTTGAGTTAAGAATATGTTTATATTTTTAAATGGTAGATTAAAAAAAAAAAGAAGAAGAAGATGGCACCAGAGACCATATATGACCCACAAAGCCTAAAATATTTATTATCTGGCTCTTTACAGAAAATGTTTGCAGACTCCTGTGCTAATCTGTATGTAGACCAGGGACTCCTTTTGGTGAACTGAGCTGTTTCAGTTTATATAGCTAGTAGTTACCTACGTGCCAGACGTAGTTCTACGTGCGTTATGCAAATAACCTAATTAATCATCATAGCACCTCTGTAAGGTTAGGTACTAATATTATCCCCATTGACAGATTAGGACACAGGGCCTAGAGAGTTAAATTTACTGTCACATGACACTCCAGCTGCTGTTAGATCATAGTAACCTCATTAGGAATCCTTCTGAAGAATGGATGTATCGGAAATTATTGTGATTTTCTGTTAGTGGAATTGGTATTAGTCCAGTGGTTAAGCCCATATAAGACATAGTATATGTTTTATACACATCTTTAGTAGGAGACTTTCTGTATTGTCTCCTTTCTTCTTTGAAGATGGGCTCAGCCCTTGTCAGTGCTCTTTGTTAAAAAAGAGAAAAGAAACTTCTAATTCCCATTTTCTGGTAATGACAAGTTAGGTCACTCAAACCAAGTTTCCCACTAAAAACAACTAAAAATTGCTAGATAAAACATCTTTACAAAAGCACTGGTAAGCTAACAAGGTATTTTCCAAGCCAAATTAAAAAGCACATAAAGAAGTTAATGGATCACAGAGGCCACTTTTGCCCTGAGGGCATTTGCTAATCTGAGAAAATTTGAATTATAACCTCAGAGGGCAAATTCACAGAAATCACTTATCCGGATATGTGGGGAATTTAAAAGAGACCCTCCCCACAATGACCGAGGCTCAAATGGTTCTACTCTCAGACTGTGAACAGGACCTGACTTGGCCCTGGAATGGTGGTGCCTCCAGTTTCCTGGTAGAAGCAACACACATCCCCTCTGAAAACAAATAACTTTATTCTAGGCCTCAAATTATTCTACAAATACATTTTAAGAACGTTGATTTCCACACCTATATTAGGCACACATAGAAACAAGGAACTATAAGCAAGAGCCAGGATAAACATCAGAAACAGATTTGCAAAGACTTTCCAGGCTATAAGACAACTGTTTTACACATTTAAAAAGAAATGAAAGACAAACTTGAAAATACCAACCTGGAATAGAAAATTGTAAGTGTCATAGGAGCTTTGAAGAAGAACCAAATAGAGCTTCTAGGAGAATTCAGTAATCAAAATTTAAAATTCAGTGGATGAATCTAACAGCAGATTAGACCCAGCTGATGAGAGCAGTAATATACTAGAACAGGAGTCAGCAACCATTTTCTAAAAAGCACCTAATAGTAAATATTTTAGCCTTTGCAGGCTACATACAGTTTTTGTTACAACTACTCAAGTCTGCTGTTTTAGCACAAAAGCAGCCATAGACAATACCTAAATGAATGAGCATGGTTGTGTTCCATTAAAACTTTATTTACACAAACAGGTAGCAGGCCAGATTTAGCCCATGGGCTGTAATTTGCCAACTCTTGAACTAGAAGGTAGGTCAGAAGAAATTATCTAGAATGCATCCTGGAGAGCAAAAAGTTGGAAAGTATGAAAGTGAGAGCAAAACTTCTAAGAGAAGAAAAGTTCTAACATACATTTAATCAGAGTTTCAGAAGGAGAAGAGAGAGAATGTGTGGGAATATGAGAAGAGAAAAAGACATTTCCAAAACTTGTAGAAAACAGTAATCCAAAGATTCAAAAAGCACAACAAATGACAAGCAGAATGTGTAAAAGGAAATTGGTAACAAGACCTCTCATAGTGAAACTCCAGAACAACAAAGAAAAAATAGTAAAAGCAGCAGAGAAAAAAGACAGGTTACCTTCCAAAGAGGTAATAGACTGACAGCTGACTTCTCCGCAGCAGTGAGCGCCAGGAGGCAGTGTTTATTCTAAACCTAGCAAAAAATATTCTTAAAGAAGTAAGTAAAATTAAGACATATTTCAGACAAATACTGAGAGAATCCATGTCTAGCAGACTTGAAGGAAATACTGAAGGGTATTATTCTTCAGGCAGAAGGAAATAGCACTATATGGAAGGTCTGAAATACAAGAGGGAGTGAAAATTTTAAAAAGTTGTAAATATGTGGATAAATTTAAGTGAAAAATGCCCAACATTTTAACATAGCCATTAATAATATGATATTAATAGTGTATTTGGAAGGTTAAAAATAATTAAATACATAAAAACTATAACATTGGTTGGGAGGAGAGAAAAGGGACTTAGTATTCTAAGGTCCTATATTTTCCAGGAAGGAATATTGATTAATTTTAGACTTTGAAAGGTAATATGCATCTTAGAATTTGGAGGGAAATAACTAAAAGAATAGAAACAAAATATATGACATCCAAACTAATAGGGGTGAGGAGTGGAATAGTAAAAAAATTAAAAAGAAGACAAGAGAGAGGAAAAAACATAAGATAGGCAGGACAAATAGTTCAAAATAAGATGATAAATTTAAACTTTTATTAGTTACTACATTAAATAGAAATGGACTGAATGTTCAAAAAAAGATAAAGATTGTCAGGTTGGTCTTAAAAACTTCAGTTTTATGCTGTTTACAGGACACACGTCTGAAACATAAGGATACAGAAAGAGTGAAAGGTTAGAAGAAGATAAGCTGTGCAGATAATAACCAGAAGAAAGGTGGTATGGCTTTATTAATATCCAACAAATAGACTTTTAACAGAAAACATTATTAGAAGGAGAAAGGTACACTTTATGCTGATAAAAGGTTCAGTTCACCAGCACAATATAACAGTTTTAAATTTAGTACCGACGTCTTAGAAAGCAAAAATTGAAGAACAAGGAAAAATGGACAAATATATAATCACAGTGAGAAATTTTAACCTCACCTCTGAGTTTAACCTAACCTTTCTCACTAGTTGAGAGAATAAACACACACAAAAAGTCAGTACGGGGTGTAGAAGATTTAAATAGCATGATTAACAAACTTGACTAAATGGAAGTATATAGAAGATAACAGCCAAAAAACTGTACTCTATATCTTATTTTCAAGAACATACAGAATAATTACATAATTGACTATAGTGTATATCTTAATAAATTTCAAAGAATTGATATCATAGACTATGTTCTTTGATCACAGTGCAACTGAACTAAATATTGGTAAAAGAAAAAAAAGATAACTAAACTGTCCGCACATGTTTGGAAAATAAGAAGATAAATTCTAAATAGACCAAAAAATAAATCATAATGGCATTAGAGAATATTTTGAACTAATAAAAAATGAAAATACTTAATATCAAATCTTGTGAAATATAGCAAACACAGTGCTTAGAAGGAAATTTATATGCTTGAATGTTAATATTAAAGAAAGGCTAAAAATAAGGTTAGTATCCTACTCAAGAAGTTGGAACAAAGACTAGAGAGACATCATTACCAATGCTGCTGACATTAAAAAGACAGTAAGAGGATAATATGAGCAACCCTATTGCAATAAAATTTAAATTTTAGGCAAAATGGATAAATCTCTTTTTTTTATTTCCAAAATGTCTCCAACATAAGCGTTTTTATTCTGCCCCCTCACTCAGGTGCAGGTAACCTACAGCAGACTCACTAGAGTGGCTATTTCCACAGTGTTGAGTGGCTGAGGTCTGGGCAGTCCTGGAGGAATGCTGATTCTCTTAAACACGGTCGCCACTAGACAGCCTTAAGTTTTCTCAGCGATGGTCCTCAGCCCTTACTGCTGTGGGTGGCTATGAGGACAGGGTAGGGCTGCTCAAGGTGAAGATATGGTAGTGATGGCATGACTGGCTAACTCCAAGGGCCTGGGCTGAGGAACTTCTCTGGGGAAGCGGATGCCAGCCTTACTTAATGGTGTTAGCATTCTCTTTGTACTGGGACCTAAACTGGCCCAGAAACTGGGGAACAGTCTCACGAGTACTTTCTCAAAAGAGGTGTCAGGGTGTTAAAAAAAAAAATCAAACCTGACTTGAGGTGAAATAACAAACCTGAATATAACCATTAAAGAAATTGAATCAATTGTCAAAATTTTTCCTACCGTCCTCCCTCCCCCAAAAAAACTCATAAGGTAAGTCTGTTGGTGATATCTACCAAATATTGAAGGAGGGAATAACGTTTGTCTTATATAAACATTTTCAGATTGTAAAAAAAGAGAACATTCCTCAACTCATTTTATGAACCTAACATAAATAAAAGTTTAAAAAAAAAATTACAGGCCAGTCTTCCTCCTGAATACAGATGTAAAAATCCTAAACAAAATGCTAACCGACCTCACCCATATATCTGTGACCAATTGATTTTCACCAAAGATGCCAAGTCCATTCAGTGGAAAAAGAATAGTCTCTTCAACAAATGGTGCTGGGACAACTGGATTTCCACATGCAGAAGAATGAAGTTGGACCTCTTCCTCACACCATATATGAAAATCAACTCAAAATGCAACAATGACCTAAATATAAGACCTAATCATAAAACTCTTAAAAAGAAACATAGATGTAAACCTTCAGGACCTTGTTTTTTGCAATGAATTCTTAGGTTCGACACCAAAAACATGAACAACAAAAGAAAAAAATAAATAAATTGGATTTCATCAAAACTAAAAACCTTTGTGCATTAAAGTACATTACCAAAAAAGTGAAAAGACAACCTAAAAATGGGATAACATATTTGAAAATCATATATCTGATAAGGGTTTAATATCCAGAATATAAGTAGTATATATAAAGAACTCCTAAGATTCAGCAACGGAAGGCAAACAATCCAATTAAAAAATGAGAAATGAACTGTTATTTCTCCAAAGATAAATGGCCAATAAGCACATGAAAAGATGCTCAACATTAGTAGTCATTAGAGAAATACAAATCAAAACCACAGTAAGATACCATTTGATACCCACCTGTTGCTGTCGAGTTGATTCTGATTCATAGTGACCCTACAGGACAGAGTAGAACTGTCGCATCTTTCTCCCTCAGAGTGGTTTGTGGGTTCAGACTGCTGACCTTTCAGTTAGCAGCCAAGTGCTTAATCACTGTGCCACTGGGTCTCCTTTGATAACCCACTAGAATAGCTAAAATTTAAAAATTAACAAAACCAAATGTGGAAAAGATGAAGAATAACTAGGTCTTTTCACATGTTGCTTGTGGGAGTGTAAAATGGTTCAGTCACTTTGGAAAACTATTTAGCAATTTTTTATTAAGTTAAATATACCCTAATTCTAAGGTTTAGTAAATTCACTCCTAGGTATTATCCAAAAGAAATGAAAACATGTATCTGCAAAAAGATTTCTACAAGAATGCTTGTAGCAGCTTTATTTATTATAGCCAAAAACTGTAAGCAACTCAGATGTTCACCAACAGGAGATTAATAACGGTGGTCTATTCATACAGTGGAATACTGAGCAATAAAAAGGAAAGAATGACTGATACTTGCAATAATATGGATGAATCTCAAAATTTGATTCTAGCCTGGGCAATTAGTTAGGAAAATGAAATAAAAGCCACCCAGATTGGAAAGGAAGAAATAAAACTATATTTGTAGGTGACATGGTCTTGTATATAGAAAATCTTAACAGATCCACTAAAAAACTATTAGAACTAATAAGTGAGTTCAGAAGGATTGCAGGATACAAGATCAATATGCAAAAATCAATTATATTTTTATATACTTGAACAATTGAAAATTAAGAAAATTATATTTACAATACCATCAAAAAGAATAAAATAGGAATAAACTTAACAAAAAAAGTATAAGAAATTAAAGATCTAAATAAGTGGAGCGATAACTCTTGTTCACGGATCAGAAGATACAATATTGTTAAGATGGTGACACACAGCTAATATATTGTAGAGCTTAGATTGAAACCAAGGTTTGTCCAACTTATTTTAGTCATTCACCCAGGAATTCAGTGGTAAGACAGGCAAAAGTTGCTGTGTTCGTAGTACTTAACATTTGATGGAGTCGGTCATTAATAATACAGTATAATTTCAGATAGTGTTAAGTATTGTGAAGAAAATAAAGCAGGATGATACGGTAGTAATCAGGGAAGGTGTTTTCAGTTAGATGGTCAGGAAATGCCTCTCTGAAGAAGTAACATTTGAGCTGAGACTTGAAAGCCAGGAAAGATCCAGGCTTATAAACATAATATTGCCCAAAAAAATCAAACCTGATTCTCATCAAGTGTTTAGATCCAACCACCACTTTACAGGAAGTAATGGAGTTGCTGGGTGGTGCAGACAGTTAACATGCTCAGCTGCTACCTGAAAGATGGGAGGTTCAAGTCCACCCAGAGGCACCTTGGAAAAAAGGCCTGGTGAAAAATCAGCCATTGAAAACCCTATGGAGCACAGTTCTACTCTGACATACACAGGATTACCATAAGTTGGATCAACTCATGGCAACTGGTTTTTTTAACAAAGGAGAGAGGAAAAGTTCACTATACCCTGGGTTGCAGTCAGCAACCAGACCATGAGAAACTCTTGATCAGATGACCTGCTTTGCTCAACAACTGGATTATAAGGAAAAATAGAGACACAAAAGAGGAATCTATAGGTAAAAAAAGGATTTAAGAGACATATCAACCAGGACTTCATTCCAGTTAGAACCCCTGCTGAGAATTTGCATTTCCACCCCCCCCCCACATACACTAAATCTGAATCCACATTTTAACAAGGTCCCCTAGATGATTCTTATGTATAATAAATTTTAAGAACCAGTGTTCTGCTAGTGGTTGTTAGAATTGGTCCCAAACCAACAGCATTAGCATCACCTGGAAACTTGTTAGAAATGCAGATTCTCAGCAGGGGTTCAAACCGGTTGATATTAGAAGCCCTGATACCAACCAGTGACAATGTGTGGACCTTATTTGGTTTCCAATTCAAAGAAACTGAAACTAAGAGACATTTATGAGACATTTGGAAATTTGAATTTTCTCCCTATTCAGTGATGTTGAGGAATTCTTAATTTTTTAAAACTTGATAATGGCATTGTGCTTATGGTTTATGCTTTAGAGATTTATGTTGGAAAAGCTATGGATGAAATGATGTGGTATCTGGGACTGCTTCATCCTAGTACAGGAGAAGGGGAAGTAAGTAAGGGATATGGACAAAGCGCAGTCAGCTATGAATTGATAAGTATTGAAGCTGGGTGTTAGGGGTTTCATTTTACTCTTCTGTCTACTTGTACATTTTAAAATTTTCCATAATTAAATTTTTAAAACTGTTGTTATTTATCACAATTCAAATGAATGGGATTCTCTCTAACCCATTTATGAGAGTGCAGTAGCTGTCAATTCAGTCATTTCAGTGAAGTGTATTATCTGCTTCTTTTCATTTTTAGGGATATGTATCAAATCACTGTTTTAAAGATTAGGTTGAATCATAGGCAACTACTTTTTTTGTAGAGCAAAAATGTCCGTATATTGGCAATTTCATGTGTTTCGGCCTAATACTTAAAAGTCAGCTAAAAAAATCTAACACTTTCTATGTGCATGCATTAGCTGTCTTGTCCATTCAAACACAGTTTCCTAGTTATCAAAGCCAATGGTATTATGATTGGATTCCAAGTTTTAAAAAGCAATTATTCATCATAAATGATTATAATAAACTGTTTTTGTTTAACAAAAAAAAAGGGGGGGGGGCAGAAAAGGAAGGAAGGAAAGAAACCTTGCAAAGATCTTAGGAAAGAGCATTTTAGGCAAAGGACTAGCAAGTACATTGCCCTAAGGCAAAAATTACCTGATGTGTTCAAGGCACAAAAAGACGGCTATGATTGAACTATATACCATGTGAGGGGGAGGGTGATAAAAGGCGAGGTTAGATGGACCAGATCAGGTAGGGTCTTTCAGAATTTTTGAACAGGAGTAACCTGATGCCATTATTCTAGCTGCTGTGTGGAAGTAGATGGCAATGAAAGCAGAAGACCAGTTAAGTCATTGCACAGTCCAGGCAAAGGTGTTGGTGGCTTGGACCAGGTGGTGGCTGTGCCCCTGAGCAAGAGTGTGCACATTAGGAGTGCAGGCATTAGAAGTAGCCCACTGGAGGTTTAACTTTTGTGAGAATTAAATGAAAAGCGCCCAACACATAGAAAATGCTCAATCACAGCTCCAGTGTCATTATTCTTGTTACTCAGTATGTTATCAGATACTGAACAGCATCCATTTTCTGAGCACATAAAGTGCATTACATTTTTTACCTCATTTAATTCACTCACCATTTCAAGTGGAAAGTTTATTATCCCCATTTTACAGAAGAGGTTCCTCTACTACACCACTCTGCCCCCCTTTTTGTAAGGTTCCTGTGCACAGTGACACATTTCTAAAAGCCCATCTTATTCTACATTATCAGCCAAGGCAATATTACTCCTAACTAATATTAATGGCTCCCCAAATCTAGCACTGATCTTCCTTAAAGAACCTGTTTCCAGACAGAAATATAGTATCTGGTGCCTGATACAGCTTTGAGTCATCGTGTGTGCCTGAGCTAGCAGCATCCTCTGAGCATAAGATTTGCAACCTTGAACAGAATTCAGCTATGGTCGTCATTTCAACAATGCAACTAATTTAAGCTGATTTCTGCAGTACTGGGAAAGCCATTATAAAATGAAAGTGCACAAATCGAGAGAAAAGACAGTGTAAATCACTTGTCATCAGTTGTTGATTAGTTCACCCTAATGCTACAGGAATCAGAAGAAGTAGTACTCATAATATCCTATAAATGTTTTCAAACTTTTCATTTTAGGAAACCCTTGAGGATTGGTTTTCCTTCCCCTGGCATCATGTCATGCAGAGATTGAAGGCAGCAGAGCAGATAAACATTTGAAGTTCCCAGCTACCATAAATCATGTTTTCAGAGGACTGTTAACGTGGCTTGAGAACTTCTTATTAAAGGAAGTCCCTGTCCAGAGTCCAGCTTTTGTGGTCATTAGAGCATCCATACCAGAACTAATCAAAGTTCTCTTGCTTTTTCTATTTGTACCAGATGTGAGCGCCTCCTGCCCACGGATATGGCCTGCCATTTTACAATGACCTCTCATCCTATCTTGCTTCCTGCCTCTTTTGTTTTTTAGCAGTCGTCCTCTTCCAGTGGTAGCGTGTTTGGGTCTGGAAACACTGGAAGAGGGGGAGGATTCTTCAGTGGCCTTGGAGGGAAACCCAGCCAGGATGCAGCCAACAAAAACCCATTCAGCTCAGCCAGCGGGGGCTTTGGATCTACAGCCACCCCAAGTAAGTTGAGAAAGAGTTTTCCAGCCCCTCTAATGGCATTGTCTTCCTCGTGATGTTATGAAAAGTTTCAGTAGCAAATATAGAAAGGGAAGATCTAGAATGCCCATTTAAAATATTTACCTGAGAGCGGTGTGGTTTGTTTTTATTTTAATTCTTTTGTTTTTTAATGAGATGTCCTGTATAGTCGTGAAAAAACATTCGAGCTGCAGGGCGAGGATCTGTGTATGGAACTACTCCGAAGGCCCACAGCGCTCTGTTTCTTAGAATTGAAATGATTTGAAATGAATGCAGGCAGACAAGCATAAATGAGCAGCAGCAGAACAAGCTGGGGGTATGTGGCAGTGGCGGGGTGGGGGGGCATCTGGATTTTCATCTGTGTAGTACTTCTCTCTGAATTTACTGTAAAACTCAGCTACTTTAAAGAAATGTCGCCCAAATGTTGAAGCTTTCATTATTTCTCATCTCTTAACATTTTTGTTTTATTTTGTCTGATGCTGTAGCTATATTGGTTCTTCTTCTCCAGCTGATTTTTTAAATTCTCTGTTGATCTGTTTATTCGTGGTTGGAAATGAAAGGAATTTGTTTAACTCTTTAAAAAATATTCTGTTGCTAATGGAGGCTGAGGTGGGGAGTTGGGAACTTCTCATCTTCATGTTAGCTTCTTCATTTACTGTGGAATAACCAGAAAAACCAAACCCTTTGCTGTCGAGTCATTCCAACTCCTGGAAATCCTATAGGACAGAGTAGAATTGCTCCATAGTATTTCCAAGGCTGTAATCTTTATGGAAGCAGACTGCCACATATTTCTCCTGTGGAGCAGCTGATGGGTTCAAACCGCCAACCTTTCAGTTAGCAGTCAAGCACTTGCTCCACTAGAGCTCCTTGTATGCAGTAGAAGATCTTAGTCATAAAGAATCAAGAGCTAATGCCCTACAAACAAGACAGATGTTTCCTTAATATTAAGGCCTATGTAGTTGAAAGCAAAACTTTTTCTATCCTAATTCTCCCTTCTGAATTCATAGATCAAAAGCTAGTTATTTTGATGTCACTGTCTACTCTAGTAATATGTAAGGGAAGATTACATGTCAAGAGACACATACCTCTTAACTCACAAAATTATATAATCAGAAATTTTTGTTATTCACCTTTCAATCTGCCGGAATAGATTTAGAAGCCCAGAATGAAGGGATTTTAGAAATTGAGTCTAGTAGTTTTCAAAAACTCTTTGCAAATGAACTCTTAAGCAGAATCCTGATGTAAGAAACAGATAAAAGTAGGTTCACTCTGAGGCAGAAGTCAAGAACTCTGAGGTAACACGTAGATAGCATCCACATCTTTTTCCAGCTATCACCACAAAACCGTAGGATTCCATCGCATACACTTTGAAAAACATGATGTTTGTATAGCTCTCTCCATTTTCCAATGAGGAAACAAACCCAGAATGGTTAAGTTTTTTTGTTTTTTTTTTTTTTTTTAAGTCACAACACAAGAAAGTGACAGATCTAGAGCTTAACTAGATCATAGGTGACGTGCCAAACACAACTTCTAGCACAGAATAGGCACTTGATTATCAACATGCTAGTTAAAAATTTGGGCTTATCCCACAGGTAAGTTATCATCTGTGAGATTGTGTTACTAACCAATTTTTTAAAAAACAGGTGTGTCATATCCTTCTAAAAATTGCTTTCCTTCTGGCTGATTCGTGTGTAATGCCATGGCTCTTAACTGTCGAAGAATTGCCTTCTCTCAGCGATGGGCTGGAGCTAGCTTGCATAGGCTTACAACAGCCAGCTGTGAACATACTGCCCGAACTCCACATTCAGTGGCATCACAGTGGTAGCCCAAAATCAGCCATGATGAGAACATTTATACCATGGAAATTGGCAAATGCTACAAATCAGGGCTTTTCTCCTCCCCTCCTCTGCCCACCTTCCCAGCTTGTTGTTAAACATTTGCTGACACATCATTGCTTCCATTTCTGTAATTCTGGTTTAAAATAAACACATATCTGTTCTCGATACCAGACACCCACTGATCTTCACCTCCTAAATGTTGGCTATTAAATTGAACCAGCAGTTTACATTTATGCTTGAGGGAAGTTTAAATGAATTTGAATGGGCACAGGAAAGGTTTAATATTATTTTATTTTTTTAAACTAAATGTATGCTTGTTTTAATTTTACTTTGTTGTTATTGAGAATATACACAACAAAACATACACCAATTCAGCTCTTTCTACATGTACAGTTCAGTGACATTGATTACATTCTTTGAGTTGTACAGCCATTCTCACCCTCCTTTGCTGAGTTGTTCCTCCCCATTAACAAAAGTCACTGCCCCTAAGGTTCCTATCTAATCTTTCTAGTTGCTGTTGTCACTTTGATCCTATATGAATAGTTCTTAAAAGAGCGTAATGCTTAAGGCAGACATTTTTTACAAATTAAACTAAACTCTTATTTGGTTTTCAGAAGACTTCAGAGGATATTTTTGGTTTAAGGTTTAAAAATTATCTCAGGGCAATAGTTTCAAGGGTTCATCCAACCTTCATGGCTCCAGGAAAGTCTAGAGTCCATGAGAACTTGAAATTCTGTTCTGCATTTTCTCCCTTTTGATCACAATTCTGCTATAGAATCTTTGATCAAAATGTTCAGTAATGGTAGCCAGGCACCATCTTGTTCTTCTGGTCTCATGGCAAAGGAGGCAGTTGTTCATGGAGGCAATTAGCCACATACTCCGTTTCTTCCTTCTATTCCTGATTCTCCTTCCTCCTCTGTTGCTACAGGCAAATAGAGACCAATTATTGTGCCTTGGATGGCTGCTTGCAAGCTTTTAAGACCCCAGGCACTACACAACTAACTAGGAGGTAGAACAGAAGCACTAAAACGTTATTAGGCCAGTTAACTGAGATGTCTCTTGAAGCCATGACCCTAAACCTCTAAACCAAGGAACCAAATCCCATAAGGTTTTTGATTGTACATAAGCAACCTCAGTAGCTACTGTTTGTTTTTTTTTTTTTTTTTGTAAGTATATCCATCTCTCAACTTTTGCCAGTTCAACTTAAATGTGTGATTTGATAGTGAAAGGGGTAGTAGCCTCTTTAGCCCTGAGGATCGAGTGCAGGATAAGAGGAAGGGTGAAGGGAGCTAGAAGTCATTTGGGGAAGGGCATTGTCCTCATGACAGTACTAATAATGCTTTCTGCAAAATCACCAGTGACAGCCTCTTTCTCCTTGAGTGACTCTGCAACATTTGATACTTTTGAGCACCATTTTTTTCCTGGACTGTGTTAATAGATTGTCCTGGTTCTCCCCCTGCCTCACAAACAATTCCTGCTCTTCTTTGTTTCTTCTCTTTTCTCTCTGGTATTGTGAGGTATGTCCTCCCATAGTTACCTGGGTTATCACAGTAGTCTCCAAACTCCCCTCCCTGCCTCTAGTCTCCTCCAGTGTAGGCTGGAAATCCATTCCAAATTGAATATCTTAAGACTTTGCTTTTATTTTGCCACTATCCCTACTCAAAACTGTTTGGCAGCTCCCCACTGACTATAGGATAAAATCCAAACCAATGCCTTAGACTGATATTCTGACTTTGACTCTGTTCCACAGCACATTGCCTCTGCTTCATCCAGTTTGTCTACTTGCTTGTTATCTCTCTGTCTGTCTCTCACATACCTCACTTCTCCCTGTTTCAGTGCCAGAGTTCACACTGTTCTCTCTGCTCTACCCCTCTGAACCTACCATTCTTCTAAAGCTTAGTCTAAGTCTATTCCTCTGTGCAGCTTCCCCAAAGGAAGGTTCCTCAGTCCCACAGTGATCGTTCCCTCCCTGGAAATCCTGCAGCCTTTGTATTCCACTCCTTCATGTAACATCACATAGAAGGGAAATAACCTTTATTGATCACCCACTGTGTGCTAGGTGCTCAATATATGTGATCTAATCACTTCTTACGATGCATTTTTAGATGCGGTTGTCCCGGTTTTACATATAAGAAAACAGACTCAGAGAGGGAATGTGGACTTGCCAAGGTTACACAGCTATTAATTGGCATAGCCAGGGTTGGATCCAGGTATGTCTCCGGAGCTCTGGTTCACCACATTGCCTCCTGAGATCTTCTCCAGTCTTGTAGTATAATATAACTCTCCCAGGTGTGCCTTATTTGACAACCCTTACGCATGTTCTGCATAACATCTAACATACTTCCTTGCATAGATATCTGGGCACAAATTGAGTGAACTGGCAGTTTCCTTTGTGAAATTTATGCCACAGCCTGCCTAATTCTGTAATTCTTGTTTAGTCCTAAAGCTACGCTCTGTAGCTGTGAGAAGTAATTGGGATTATGGTTGTGACAAGAAAGACAAGCTAGGAACACTGTTGCTTGGAGTTGGCATGTTCTGTAAAGGTTTCTTCTCTCTATCTTCCCCAGAGTCTCTACCAAAGATTAACTATTAATCCCCAAGCTCATTTAAAACTCAACACTGCTGTTAATTTTTATCTATAAGGACCCATTACCTTTTTGCATTTTGTCCTGAGGACTCCGTTGAGGATCTTTCTCTGCACATTCTTTCCGTCTGTCTGCTCAAGGGCCGGAAAGATATAATTGAGTCAGGTGATGAAGAAGCCATTTGATGATGATAGTTTGGGCCCACAAGGCTCCTTCCACAACTGTTCTTCAAGAAAATGGCCTGGAAAGTATCCTGGAGAGGAGCTTCTTGAGACCCCCTTCTGACCTGCTCTTTGTAATACTATATTAACTTCAAATTTATATCAAACATAATTTAATTTGGATGAAACCCTGATGTTGGATGATGATAATATTTTTGCCAAACAAAATACAAGAGGTCCATGTTGTGCCAGAGCAGATGCCAGTTTTACATGTACTTGTCACCCCAAAGCATCAGTCATCAGATGGCTCTGCAAAAACAAACCTTATTTTCTTACTGACTGATTTATCCATAATGAACAAAAATCTTCTACAATGAAATATTGCTCCAACATCAAAAATA